AGTAGCAAGAGGGAAACTCAGCAAGGCATTCAGTCTATGAGCAAAACTCAGAAATCAGCTGTGTGTTTCAGTCCATGTTTGGTCGGGTTATCACATTACTCACGCCTCAAGAGCAAGGTCCCTTTGAGCGAGTAACTCATTCTGAGTCCCCGACAAACGCATCGTAGGCAAACAAGGCAAAGAGATTTCGAGAATATCTGTTGCAGTGAGCTTGGTAGAGATCTTAGGTGCATCACTAGAGGCGATTCGTCGCTCGTAGGCTTTAACAACGCACGGTGCGCTGCACAACAGTTCCTGCTTGGAAATCCAGTATAGATCATCCAACGACTGGTACATGAAATGAACCTGGTACTATCTGTTGTGTTCGTTCCCTACGTGTTGTTTGATTCTGTCTATCTCATGTCCGCCATTGATTGCACGAGGAATTATGATGTCTTCACGGTAATCGAACGACTTGGCATCATGGTGGAGAAACAGTTTTGATGCATGAAACACGGGATATGTGCGCAGATGAGGTGGCACAACAACTACGTATGAAGGGCCAAAGCTATCTTCGCCAATCACCTGCAAAACTTCCCACAAACCATAATAGAGTGGGAGAAGTTTGCGTGAAACTCCCTCTTCTTCCGAAAATTCAGACATCTTGACCCAGGCATAACTTCCCACCTCAATATCTGAAGGTCGACGCTTCTTGTTTGCATGATGGATCATGGCATGTTGTCGCCTGGTCATTGCTGCAATGACAACTTTAAGCAAGCGATCGTACTTGGCCTTGAAGCCAGGATTGTCGGGTGTTAAACCAACTGACTGCTCAGGGAATAGGTAGGCGAGCGGATTACGAGTCTACCAACCGTAATGCAGCCTGTTTGGTGTCATGCCGGTGGCAGAATGGATGGAGTTGTTGTACAACCCCTTGACGGAATACAACTCTTCATCCCATGTTTCCTGATCCAGAATGATTAAAGCGCGGAGAAGTTGGAACTGAGCCTGGTTGATTTCCTCAGCCAAACCGTTGGCTTCGGGGTGTCGACCAGATGTCATGCATAACTTGAGGCCAGGGAGTTGGGACATGAAGTCTTTCCATTCAGTACTGATGAAGCGTGGGTCCCGATCACTCACGAGAGTTTTCGGGGTTTCGAACTGCTGACTGTACTTCTATTTGAACTCACGGATCACCAATTCAGTTGGAGCATGCGATGGCAAAGGAATCAGATTAAGAATTTTAGAGAAGCGGTCAACAATCACCATGACTTGTGAGTAGCCGTTCTTACTTACCTTTCCCATGTCGGTGAAGTCGATAGAGACAGACTCCCCGATACCATCGGGAATGGGAAGGGGTGTGAGTAGCCCCATTGGCTTTTGTCTACATGGTTTGATTTGTTGACAGACTTGACATTCAACCACAAACTTTTCAGTAGATCCCTTCATGCCAGGCCAATCAAACTGTCTCAATAGGTTTCCGTATGTCTTTGCCATGTCGAAGTGTCCACTCTAGTCATGAGCCAAGTCCAGAAAGTGCATGAGGAGAGGCTCATGGTTGGGCACAAACAAACAGTCGTGGTTCCCGTAGCGATGGAAAACCAGTCCTCCATACACATGAAAATCAGGCTGATTGTTGGGGTCAGCCCTCAGCTGCTCAAGGATGGGACTAAGGGCCGGATCCTTGGCAGTGTGCTCTACGAGCTCCTCCTTCAGTTTCTTCCGGAGGTTGTAGGAATTCACAAGGCAAGTCATGTACTCAGGGTGATGAGACAATGCATCAGCAACTCGATTATAACAACCCTTTTTGTGCCTAAACTCAAAGTCAAAAATGTCAATTTCATGGAACCAGCGAAGTAACATAGGGGACACGGTAGTTTGCTCTTTGATCCACTTCAGAGTCTCATGATCTGAGAACACTTTTAAGTGGCGTCCCAAGAGATAGTGCTTGCAATGGTCCAAAGCCATACGCAAAGCATAGAGCTCGCGCATGTAGGTGGAAGTGGCTACCTTTTCGTTGGGCATGCGTTTGCTGAAGAATTCGAGCGGCCGCAAGCCATCGCCGTCATCTTGCTGCAACACTGCGCCAATTCTATACTGGCTTGCATCCGTAGTAACTACGAATGCCAGTTTGGAATCTGCAATGCGGAGTATAGGGTAAATTACCAAAACTTTTTTCAAAGCTTGAAAGGCATCCTCGCATGCGGTATCCCAAGTGTAGGGGACGTTCTTACTCGTTAACCGGGACAACGGGCGAGTAATAATAGAGAAGCGGGGCACAAACTTCCGGTAGTATGACTCGAGACCAAGGAAAGAGTGCAGTTCGCGGATGTTCGCGGGCTGAGGCCAATTGCGTATGACCTCCACCTTGGTTGCCTCAGGCTCTAGGCCTGCAACAGACAATTGATGCCCAAGATAGATGACGCTATCCCTCCCAAACTCAGAGTTCTCTACGTTGAGATGGAGTTGCGTCTTCTTGAGGATGGTGAACACTTCCTCAAGGTGCTTTATGTGTTCCTCCATGGATTTGCTGAAGATCAGTATATCATCAAGGTATACCACCACCAACCGGCCAATCTGTTCACGAAAGCCCTTATCCATGAGGCTTTGGAAGGTGGCCGGTGCGTTCGTGAAACCGAGGGGCATTACGGTAAACTCGTAAAGCCCATCGCGTGTTTTGAACGCAGTCTTGTGCTGGTCGGCAGGATCGACTTCAATCTGGTGATAGCCAGACTTGAGGTCGATCTTGGAGAAGACCTTGCACCCACTTGCAACATCAAGCAAGTCATCTATGAGAGGCAATGGGTAGGTGTTCTTTCTTGTGATGCAGTTTAGACCGTGGTAGTCAATACACGTGCGGAGCTTGCCTCCTTTCTCCGGGATAAACAAAACAGGGGCACCAAATTCAGACTCACCAGGCTTGATCCAACCCTTGTCAATCGTTTCATCAATCTATCGTAGGAGTTCCTCCAATTCGCTGGATCCCATTCGGTATACGCAGCCCTTTGGAGGAACATCACCTTCGACCAACTCGATGGTGTGTCGGACCGATTGTGTGGGAACTCCAGGTGGTTCAGCCAGAACTTTTGGGAACCGATCAAGTAGGTTTTGGATGTTGGTTGGGACCGGTGGGGGTGAAGGGTCAGCAAAAGGGTCACCTAGATCAGGTCGCAGGTTGCGAATAGAGGCAACCGAATCTGAAGTTGAATCATTTGGATTAGGGGTAGGTAAAGAAGTAGACGGGTTAGAAGTAGAATCACTAGATGAAGTAGTATTTGTACTAGCCGCAAAAGTAGATGGCACATGAGCAGGGCGAACAAAGGCAACATACAATTGTTCATCCTCCTTGTGCTTGCGTCGTTTCTTGCAGAACTGCATGGCATTTATAAAAGTCACTGGGGACTCATGGTTCTCATCTAAGAGGACGGGAAACTCGTTCCCTTGAGCATCTTTGACCATGACGAGTGACTCCTTCCACTTGGTCCATTCACATTGGGACTGCAGCCAGCCCAAGCCAAGGACAGCGTCGAAGGGACACTTGTCAAGGACATAGAAGTTCAAAGCGTGGGTGACAATTTTGTCCTTGTCAAAGGTAGTGCGCACACCTTTGACTGCATGCGTCGAAGAGACAACTTCCTTGTTGCCTACTTGGGTCCGGCAAGGGTTTTGCAAAGCCACTTGCCTCATTCCCAAGCCCACTTTGTGTATCCCGTGTGGTGACATAAACTTAGTAGTTGCTTCACAATCAATCAAGACACGAACATAACGGTGGTTTATGAGAAGTTTGAAGAAGATCAACTTCACTGTCCCCTGGGCACGCTGATGTTTCATTTCAGCCCAATGCTCCAAGTGGTAGTGGAAGTCAACTGTCTCAGACTCCTCCTAAGGTTCGACATACAAAGGATGACACACTTCAGCCTTGGAATCAGCAGATGATTGGGCTTCAAGGGAGGACTGCTGATTTGCATCAGATTCAGTCTCCCTTGCTGTAGAGGATGCTGAAGTCAATTTTACGCCCGGTTCTGGTTTCCCTGTAGCTTATAACATTCTTGTTCTTTATGGTTTGGTTTTTTTGGCAATGCAGGCATACCCCCTTCTTGAGCCTATCCCTCCAATCATTTTCAGTGATCCGGAGGTCAACCCATGGTTTAGTGGCTGCATCCTCCGGTTTCACTGGGATTTTGACTCCCTTGGGAAGTTGGACATAGTTCTTCCCTGAATTCCAGCTCGGTCCCTTTACGTTGGCAGACTTTTTAAAGGCATTTAATTTTTCCTCTTCATTATTCACATCAGAGTCATGGGCTGAAGAGTAGGCGGTGACAGGGTCCTGTTCTTGGTCGTCACCAAGAGTGGGGTCGTCTACATAGGCCTCCTCATCGGCCTCCAACAGGTCATGCACAACAAAACGGTTGCTGCCTCTGAACCGCCTGCCGCCAGTAGGCTTTTTCCTGCCCGTTGTGGTAATGAGGTCTTGTGCCTCAAGGCTGACCACGTCTTGCATGAGGGAAAGCCAGTCCGTGTAACCAATGAGCTCTTTGCCTAGGCGATGCATGTAGGTAGTGGGAACCGTACCTTTCACAACATCCAGACATGATTGTGCAGTCATTTCCAATCCTGGAGTGGCAAAAAGTTTGTTGACAAACAACTGCAGATTATGCATGGTGCCCGTCCGCTTGCTGCGCTTGAGATCATCAAGTCTCTTTCGGGTTCTTGCGGCAGCATGTGGATCCTTAAATTGTTTGATAAGGATCTCCTCTATGGGTGTGGCTTTGAGCCACTGTGTTAGATTGATCTTAGCGTACCCGACTTGCGTAGCTTGGACTTCTAAGAAGCCTCGTATGACAGGCTCGATGTTGGTCCCCATGATCAAGGACTGGCTCACCGGTTGAGTTCTCAGCACCTCGAAGTAAGCTCTCATGGAGCTGATCTAGGACTCAACGTCTTCTTTCCCGTCGTACTTAGAAGGTATGGGAACCGCCTTCCTGTCCACATAGGGACTGTTGTAGCCGGCACCAACGATTGCTGTTTCTGAGCTTGAGGCTACCGCAGTTGCAGAATTCCCTGCACTGTCACTTGCCGTAGCTGCAGCAGAGTCTGCACCTACTGTAGGTTCCGATGGAACCACACTTTGAGAAGAAGTAGAGGAGCGAGGATTGTTTGGTTAGCAGCATTGGAGGCAGGTGGTAGAGGGAGAGGATTAGAAACTTGATCCTTCTGCAGATTTCCCATCTGCCGCATTTGGTCCTTGTGCTCCTTGGTCACTTCGGCCAGTTTCGCCCGCAACTCACTTACCTCTGCCGAGAGTTTGGTGATATGTTCAGGGATGTCACAGAGTAGGTGACAATCTATAAGAGCACGCACATATGCGACTATCTCCTTCCTGACCTCAGTGTCAGGCAAGGAGGAGACTATTTTGAGGACAACCTCATGATCTGCAACAACGGTTTTCCGCTTTTCCTCGGCTTTCTCTTCCCTTGCCAGTGCCTTCTCGTAGAGAGTTTGGAACAATGGTTTATCCTCCTCTATGGCTGCATCCAGTTGGGCCTTTACGGCCACAAAAGCCTTTACATCGCCCATTTCCGCAAGTCCCTCAAGATGGGTTTTTTCACTCTCTCTTCTCTCTCTCTCTCTTCCTTTTGTCTATGGGCATCAAAATATGAACTCCGGAAAAGAAACAAACTTAAAAATTCAAAGAAGAGAAGGTAGAACTCCTAGCCGGAGCGGCATTACATTTGGACTAGAGAGCAGCAAACCAAAAAGAAAAACAATTTCACAGGAAAGGTCTGATCCAGCGACCCAGTCTGATCAGACTGCATACGAGGTCCTCTCGAGTCCAGTCTGACCAGCTCCGTGTCTGTTCAACAAATCAGACAACGAGTGACTAAATGCAACAATCGAGAATTCAGTGGTGTATAGGGTGCGGGTCAAGCCATGGACGGTGCGATCAAAAGCATGCGAAACGTCTCAGCCGAGGTCCCCTCGGCAGTGGGTGTCCTAACCAACAAGAATAAAACTCCGGATCTCAGTCAGGAAGAGAATGGACTAATGTCTAACAGATTCGGGTCCAAGGGCTCTTCTTGTTTGGGCCCAGTCCCACTGGGTCCCAAGGGTCCCACGTAGGTCGTGACCAAGTCCCAACCAAGAGGAGTCCCACTTGGACTAAGTTTTTGCCTTTACCATCTTGAAAACGAGTTTCAACTTCCGGCAGAACCTACAGACTATGGTCGTTCAGAGATGAAAAGACAAAGCACTGTAGAAGGAATCGGCATTCAAATCAAGATACTTCGTTTCTCCATCCATCAGGTGAGTAGGTAGATCACACACACTCAACCACACAATCAAGACCACGGAGGAGTAGGAAAGAAACCCAGAATAACCCTAGCAGGACAATCAATACCATGCACACATACATCGGCATCCCGTAGGTGCACGACACTTACCTGAGTGGCCTGAGCTTCGAGATGAATAGAACTCACCCCCCTCTCATATGATCCTCCTGACCCCTTTAACGCTACCCCTACACGTGTCCTATCTCCTAGGAACGTTTGACTCCAACACCAAAGTGCAACGCCGGGTCCCCCGCCGATGCTGGAGAACAAGGTAGCTACTTGCAGTCCGTAGATGCTGAATGGCCGCTGACCCTCAAGTTCGCCTACTTGCCTACTTGAGGGAAGCCCTTAAGTTGCCAAGTGTTTCCCTTGAATCAGATTCCAGGTGCGAGTGCCTCTCACTGTCGCCTCTCTCAAGTTGCCGCATGACGTCTCCACGAAATGTCTGGCCACCCTAATGTCACTCTCAAGCAACCTGGTTAGGTTCAATGTCGACCCCACATGACCTAACCAGGTGGGGGCAGCTTCCCTTAGCCACGCTGCCCCACTTCCCTTACATCCAACCATAACCCTAAGTGTTGCCCTCAACCACTTAGGTTAGGGTTAGGGCAGCAAAGTCAACTCTCACCAGCAAGTAGAATCCGTTATGATACCAGTGTTATGATCCTGGCCAATTTCGAGATACACATTCATCAGATAGTACAATGCTGTTCAATTGCAGAAAGAAATGAATGAACTTGAGAGGAGAGAGAAGGTCAGAAGAGGAAGAAGAAGTAAGAAAGAAGAAGAAGATGATGTACACCAGCATAGACAAACGATAAAGCTCTTCTTCTTTGCTCAACCCTCTCTTCCTCCTTATCTCCTCGTCTCTTATTCACACAACAAATAATAATACAATGTTGAATAGCTGAACCAGAATCAAGTCCGAATCCTTCTTCTACTGCAGGTGTCACTTGAGGTCCACCATAGCCATGGCCGTCTCTCCCACTCTTCCCTCTGATAGGCCAAGGCTATGGCGGACTACTAGGCCTTGCCCAGATGCCCAAAGGACGACCCAAAGCAGCTATGGCTGCTCTTGCTCAGGCCACCATGCCTGACCCTGCATTGAAGCTTCTTGGTGTAGCTCAACCCCAGCTGGGGCCTTCCTGCTGCAGCGCCCACCAAGGTGATGAAGATGGCTGCCACCATAGCCAGGTAAGTACCTCTGGCGCTCCTCCCCCTTCCTGTCCTTCTTCCTCCTCCGGGTCCTTG